AGAACTTCCTGGTAAAAGTGAAACACCTGAAGTAATTTGGACTAAAGAGCGCGTGGAATTCACTAACATATAAATAAATGGAATTAAACTTAATAAAGTCAGGATTCCAAAAAAGATGTAAATCAATGTTCGACGTGCTCTTAATTGCTTACTCATACTTTTAGGTTCCATTATTCTTCACCTCCAATATTTACTCTTTCTCTAAATCCACGGAACATAAGAATAGAAACAACAGCGGAAATAATCAATAAAAGTACAGAGGCTGCTGAAGCCAAACCATAGTTACGATAAGCAAAGGCCTGATTATAAATAAAGATGGACAGAGTATAAACTCCATTTTGTGGGCCACCTTGGGTCATAATAAAAGGAATATCAAAGACCTGCAAACCACCAATAAAGCTGGTAACAAAGGTATAAAGTACAATTGGTCTCAGTAAAGGCAAAGTAATTCGTCTAAATATTTGACCATCACTAGCTCCATCAATACGAGCTGCCTCAAAGAGACCTTCATCTATTGATGTAATCCCTGCAATATAAACAATCGAGGTTTGACCATACCACATCCAAAATTGAATGAAGATTACAATCCCTCTTGTCCCCCAAACCGATTGAAAGAAATTAAAAGGATGATTAATGAGGTGCAGATTTTGTAAGAGTAGATTTGCAAGACCTGTTGGATAGCCAAATATCCCACCAAATAAGGCTGCGATAGAAGCTGCCATTATCATGTTTGGTAAATAAAATACTGTTTTAAAAAAGCCACTTCCTTTTAAATTTAGTTTTCTATTCGTCCACCAAGCTGCTAAAATTAAAGCTAAAAGCACTTGCGGAATAAAAGTAAAAATCCAAAGCATTACTGAATTACCCAGTGCTTTCATAAAAAGCGGAGTGCTTGTCAGTAATGTTATAAAGTTCTGTAAGCCAACATTAGTCGCATCTGAAAAAGATTGCCAACCATTCATACTGGTAAAGCTAATCGCAATTGAATAAATCATTGGATAAAGTGTAAAAAGTAAAAATCCCACAAAAAATGGAATTAAGAAATAATAACCAAAACGATTATATTTCTCGAAATTTGATTTTTTCTTTCGAACACTTTTTTTAGTGTTTTCCATTTTATCTCCTTACTATAAAAAGAGAAGCAAACATAGTCCTTGCTTCTCTTATGTTTTCTAAATGTACTTATTTCACTTCAATATTAGGATAGGCAGACTTAACATCTGACTTAAATGTATCGAGTGCTTTAGATTTAGTGACTTTTCCTGTAGCATAAGGATTAACAACATCATTAATCCAAATTGATTGAATACTTTGGTCATATTGTGTTTGATTTTTACCATTAATGGTATCTGCAACTTTTGACCAAACAGGATAAGGATTTTGTCCACCAATCAAACTGACCTTGGCATCTTTACCTTGTTCTTTATTAATTGCTTTCACTGAGCCAAAGTCATTTTGTGTTTTGACATCCCATGTTTGGAATTCTTTGTTTGTTCCCATATAAACTGCAAGTGCTGAAGCTGCATCAGCATTTTTAGAGCCTTGAACTCCTGCAAGCCAAGTTCCACCCCATGAATAAGACACAGGTCCTTCTGTCACGCGCCATGCTCCAGCTGTATCTTTAGCATAGTTTTTCAACCAATAAAAGAGCCCCCAAGATGGCATTGCATAAGCCCCAATCTTGTTAGATGAAATTCCACCATACCAGTCAGGAGTTTGAGGGGTTGTATTTTGACACCAACCTTCTGAAACAGCTTCTTTCATCAAATCTAATGAATCAATCATTGAACTATCAATTTTAAGCTTATTATCAATCACCCAACCATCTTTTCTTGCACCAATAACTGGATTATAAATTTCTTCAAGTGAGCTAAAAAGATAAGCTTGTCCACCAGATTTTTCTTTGATTGTTTCGCCGGTCTTCTTAATTGCATCCCAACTAGACAAAGCTTTCTGAGCAGAAGCTACATCATTTGGAGCAATTCCCAAATATTTTTGAAAAACATTAGTATTATAGTAGTAAGCCCCCGGAGCTGCTTGGTAAGAAACTGCTACTTGTTTTCCTTTGCTATCTTTCCCCATATCAAGCGTATATTGATAATTCCCTTTGGCGGCAGAAGCCACTCCATAGTCTCCAAGATTTGTTAATTTACCTGATTGAACATATTTTTCAACAAAGCCGGCATCTAATGCCACCATATCTGGTGCTTTATCTGTTCCCAAAACAGAGTCTAGTTTTGTTTGAAAGTTAGCATAGGGAACAACAACTTGTTTGATGGTAAGGTTTGGTTTTTCCTTTTTTAATTCATCGATCTGTGGTTGCATCGTAGTAAATGACCATAATGTTATGGTCTGCTTTTTGTTCAAATCAGCATTGCCAGCAGATTTTTTCGAACTACTTGTACTCGAGCCACAAGCCACTAGAGTTAAAGTTGCAAGTAAAGCAACAGAGCCAAGGCAAAGCTTTTTCCAATTTTTTGCGAGATTCATTTTGTTTTTCTCCTATTATGAGTTTTTTATTGAATATTTAATTCGAAGGGAGAAGCTGGATATCCCTCTTCATTCCAAATAAATGCTTGCGGAGCATTGCTCCAGTTGTACCTGACTTTCGCATCAGGTTGAAGTGATAAGGTTGCAGGAAGCTCTAAAATAATTTGTTCCTCAACTTGACGATAGTCTCTTACTTTATAACTATGCCCTCCTTGAAAAAGTTCAAAAGCCTTATTTTCCTCATCGCTAAATTTTTTCCCGAAAGTTTCAAATGAAAGGATAATAACATTCTTTTTCGCTTGTATTGCCTCTTTAGCAAGAGGACCTGTACAATAACCATTTGGGAATAATTTAACATTGTGATAAGCGTTTAATAGTTTATGAGCGACATCTTTTTTATTTAAAGGGTGGAGATCATCATCTTCTCCATCTCCGATTGTCACGACCATGGCTGTTCGTGATATTTTTAGCCCCTCTTTTTGTTCTTCACGAAGTCTTGCCCAATCTGCCTCTTTTTCAGTATCACAATTTGGTAATTGAACATAAAGAAAAGGTAAATTTGGTTGCTTAAAGAGTTTTCGCCAACTTTCGATTAATTCGCGAAAACGTGGGCCATAATTTTGCGGACTACCTGCATCACTTTCACCTTGATACCAGAGAATAGCTGCAAACTTTAACTTTTGCAAAGTTGCTATCATACCATTGTATAAACCAGTTGGTTCATAATTAATAAAGTATTCCTTATAACGTTCGGGTAATGTACTGCTTCGCCTAATTTTCCAGCCATGATTTAAATCTAAACGATTCTCTCCAACTAAGAGAATATGAGGCTTACTATGAGTAATTCCACCAGGAGCATTATAAATTTTAAGACGAATTGCAATCGTAAAACTTTTTGTTAACTTAGATATTTTGTAATTTCTAGGTGGATACTTGTAGTCAGTATTGCCTATTTTCTTTCCGTTGACATAGATAACATCAGCATCGGTCATTGTTCCAAAGCGTAGCTCTCCCATTTTTCCAATAAATTCATCTGAATTTTGAAGTTTTTTTCTTAACCAAAGTGTACCTGGAAAAGTATATTTTTCATTCCAAGTCTCACTTAATGAAATATCAGGCCAATTCCTATCATCAAAGTTAGGGTCTTGCCAAGATTGATGTAAACCTTCATCTGTTTCTTCACAAAGTTTTTGGTAGCTATCTTGATAAAGCTTATCAATATTTTGAATTTCTTTTAGATATTCTTTATTTTTTAAAGCATTATAGGATGGTGAAAGAGAATTAAATTTGGTTAAAGACTCTTCACTCAACCAAACATTAAGCGGTGTCCCACCAACTGCTGTTGCAATCAAGCCTATTGGTACGCCATCTTCTGAAAATTTTTCTTTTGCAAAAAATATCCTATCCCTGACAAATTCTTTAAATCTTCGCCAATTGCTCTTTTCCATTGTCCTGAGGTTAATTCTGTTTTTATGTTATCGAAAGAAGGCTCTTGTGGTACCTCAAAATAACGAATCAAAGGATTTTTGGCTTGTTTTATCTCATCAGGATAGCGTGTTTTGAGACGTTCCATCCAAAGCTGCATATTGGATTGACCACCAAGAAGGAACACATCACCAAAACAGATATCTTTGAGAATAATTTCTACATCAACGGTTGAAATTTTAAACTCAATGCTCTCACTTACTTCGTGTGCTGGTAGAATAAAATCGAAATAACCTTTTTCGTCAGATTTAGTTTTTAATAGTATTTCCTCATAAGATAATGTGACTTCTTGTTCCGAACCCGTGTATCCCCAAAAATGATTCTCTTGATTTCTTTGTAAGATTGCACCATCTTTTAGAAGATATGGAATAAAGATAGATGATTTCATGGTTTATCTCTTTCGTTTGTTACAAAACTTATATACAAGTTTTTATCTAAAAATAAATATAGCGCTTTCATAATTTTCTTTTCTGATTTTTCTTACGATGTGAACTGGGAAATGTTGTGTTTGGGGTTTTTAGTAAAAGGAACATTAAAAATAACAAGCATGATAGACTCTTGCTTGTTTTATTTGTACTTTTCTATTAAATTAATGCTTGGGAACTGCGTAAGTTAAAAGATTTCACTATTAAAACCGGAAAGAAGAATTCTGAGGGAGAAGACTATCCTGCATATTCTGTTAGTAATAAGTTAGGGCTAGTTAGCCAAACAAAACAATTTGATGGTAGTCGTTTGGACTTTTTAGATAAAACAGCATATAAATTTGTTAACCAAGGTGAATTTGCATATATCCAGCTAGAATTAATGTAGGTTCAATAGCTTTTAATGATTTAGGTAAAACTGTTATAGTTAGTTCTCTATATGTTGTTCTAAAGATTAGTGATAAGCTAGACAATGAATATATTTTACAGTTTATTAAATCAATTAAGTTTATTGAAGAAGTTAAAAGAAATACGGAAGGTAGTGTTCGAGAATACTTATTTTTGATAATTTCAAAAATATAAAATTTCCATATATAAAAAATCTTGAAGAGCAACAAAAAATTGGCTCATTTTTTAAACAGCTAGATAACACTATCACTCTTCATCAACGTAAGTTAGATAAACTTAAACGGCTCAAACAGGGTTATTTACAGCAATTGTTCCCTAAAAATGATGAAAAAGTTCCAAGGGTTAGATTTACTAACTTTGACAAAGAATGGAAATTGCATACATTAGGAGATGTAACAGAAAGATTTGATAATTTAAGAGTACCAATTACAGCATCGGATCGTATTTCTGGAGCCACGCCTTATTATGGAGCAAATGGAATTCAAGACTATGTTGAAGGACACACTCATGACGGTGAATTTGTTTTAGTAGCAGAAGATGGTGCTAATGATTTTAAGAATTATCCTGTACAATATGTGAATGGAAAAGTATGGGTCAACAATCATACTCATGTTTTACAAGGTAGACATGAATTAGTAGACAATAAGTTTTTGATGATTGCTATTAAAAATGTTAATATTGAACCATTTTTAGTAGGGGGAGGACGGGCGAAATTAAATGCTAATATTATGATGAAGCTCGAACTACTTTTTCCAAATATGAAAGAACAGCAAGAAATCGGTACATTCTTCAAACAATTTGATAGTATTATCAGTTTTGAATACTCTAAAATTGATAAGTTAAATTCAGTAAAGCAAGCACTTCTTCAAAAAATGTTTATTTAATTAAAAAAGGCGTATCATAGCGCCTTTTTTCTATTTAAGCTATTGTTGATAAATGTCGCATAATCTTATCATTATCTTGATTTTCTAGTTCCTGAATAATATGGAGATAGGTTTCTTGAGTCGTGGACATACTTGAATGACCTAGTCTTCTAGCCACGCTGGCAATAGAAACATCAGCAAATAAAAGAAGAGAGGCATGCGTATGTCTTAATCCATGAATTGAAATAGAGGGAATATTTGCTTTGGTGCACAAAACTTGAAGCCTATTATTTACAGTAGAATTAAATATTCTTCCTTTTACAAAAATTGGTTCTTCGTTTGGAAAGTTTTTGATTAATTGAGAAAATTGCATGGCAGTTTGCCAATCTAACTGTATCTTTCGCTTAGAAGACTTATTTTTAGTGGGTTGAAATTTTCCAACGGAAGATTTGTAGTCCCAAGTTTTATCAATGGTTAGTTTTTGGTTTGAGAAGTCAAAATCAGCTGGTCTTATAGCTAATGCCTCAGAAAAGCGTATTCCTGTTTTTAAAATCAAAAGTATAAACCAATCCCAATTAATTTCACTAGTAAGATTCATTTGTTTTACTAGTGCTTGAACTTCATATAAATTCAAAAATTTTGGTCTTTTTTTCCTCGGAGCTTTTCCTTTTATGATAATTTTTCTTGTTGGATTTTGCATAATTAAGCCATCATCTACCGCATCTAATATTGCTCCTTTAAGGTGGTGGTGAAAGTCCATTGTTGTTTGCTTTTCATGCGAAATAGCATAATCGTTCAATAGTTTTTGATAACTTCTACGAGTAACATCACAAACTTGTAAGTCAGGTACAAGTTTTTCCAAGTGTTGCTTACTAATATAGTATTTTTTCAATGTAATAGGGCGCACTGCACCAACTTTATAAAGCTCAATCCATTCCTCAAAATACTCCGAAAATAATTGCTTTGCTTTTTTGTTTTTTACCAAAATAAAAAATCTCCTTGATTAAATAGTTTAGAAAGCTAACTTTCCATACCTATTCTATCAAGGAGATTTTATGTTCACAATAATTATTAAATAAACATTTTTTGGAGAAGGGATTGTTTTATTGATTTTAATTTGTCAAGTTTAGACTGATGAAGAGCGATAGTGTTATCTAGTTGGTTAAAGAACGAGCCAATTTTTTGTTGTTCTTCAAATTGCGGAAGATGAACATTGAATGAAGACAGGGCCTCTTTTGTTATTGTTTTAATAGTTCCGCCAGGAGCTTTCAGTTTTTCAATTTCAAATTTTTTCTGAATTGTATATGCCCAAAACCGTTGATCAGTTGCTTTTTCATAGTCATCAAAAATCAGCAAGGTGCGGTCTACAAAAGATTCATACTGAGTAATTGCGACACGTCCGATGCTCCCTTGCAAGGTAACTATCACTTTCCCTTCTGGAACAAATACACTTTTAGGTTGAGCTAATTTGCTAATTTTCTGTTTTGTATTTTCAACTAAAGTTAATTTACTCGTTACATCTACAACTTGAACGAAAGGCATAGCACCTTCTCCGTCATACCATTCTTTATTTCCGTATGGTTGTGGGAATGAACCACGGCGATATTTGGAGTAATCCCCTAACTTACGCAGTTCCCATTCGTACTCAAAGTTAGCGAATCTAACTCTAGGGACTTTTTCATCATTTTTAGGGAACAATTGCTGTAAATAACCCTGTTTGAGCCGTTTAAGTTTATCTAACTTACGTTGATGAAGAGTGATAGTGTTATCTAGCTGTTTAAAAAATGAGCCAATTTTTTGTTGCTCTTCAAATGTGGAATGATAATTGGCATATCAAAGAATGTATCAGCATGTATTCTTTTAGCTTTTCGTGAACCATTAGCAATATTACCTTGATACTTATAAAAATTTTCTTGACATACATTTTCTAAGAAAAAATTAGGATCGATTCCATTTTTAAAGTCAAAAGCAGGCGAATCTAAGGTTGATTCATAGCCATCTAATTCAGCTGGTAAAATTCCAAATGCTTGATTTAAAAAATCTAATTTACCATACATAAATTGTCCTGTTGATCTAATATAATATTGTGTAGCCGAACTCCCATTTAATTTATCATCTTTTGGAACAATGCCTTTTCTCCAAAGTTTTACGGTTAATTTTTTAGCTATTGAACCATCTGAACCTCTAACTTTGCTTTCAGATAAAAATTTTCCAACCTTATGCTGTTCCCAAGCATCTATAAACCCTTGAAATCTAAGCTCAGGAACATTTTTAGAGACCTCCGCCTTATTTTTTTCGACATTTAAATTATTATTACTTGTCATATCATTCTCCAAAAATTCGTTTAGTAGCTTCAATAATCTCACGACTATCATCTGTTACCGCAAGTTGATTTAACATTGAGAGGAATTCTTGTTCTGTCTTACTAACCTCTTGATTAATGTCTACAATTTCTTGACTTAGTGCAATAATATCAATAGGTTCTTCTTCTTCAAAAGTATCAACATAGCGTGGAATATTAAGATTGAAATCATTTGATTCTATCTCTTCAAAACTTGCTAAATGGGCATATTTTTCAACATTCTCACGTGATTTATAAGTTTTAATGATTTTTTCGATATCACTATCGCGAAGCATGTTCTGATTTTTTTGTTTTTCAAAATCATTAGAAGCATCAATAAACAAAACGTCACGATTATCACGATTTTTCTTTAAAATAATTACCGTTGTCGGTATGCTTGTTCCATAAAAAATATTAGCAGGTAAGCCTAGAACTGCATCGATTGCACCCATCTCAAGCAAGGCTTTACGAATCACTCCTTCTGCTGCTCCCCGGAATAAGACGCCATGGGGCAAAACAATTCCCATTGTCCCAGTATCTTTCAAGTGATAGAAACCATGAAGTAAGAAAGCGAAATCTGCTTTCGATTTGGGAGCTAATTTCCCATAACGCTCAAAACGTGCGTCAGAGAGAAACTTTTCAGCCGCAGACCATTTTGCTGAGTAAGGAGGATTCATGACGACAGCATCAAACTGATGGGGCTCTTCTGTTGGCCAGTCACTATCAAGAGTATCCCCATTTTTAAGACGCATTCTTCCTTTGTCAACACCGTGCAAAATGAGATTCATTCGTGCTAAGTTGAAAGTTGTTGTATTCAACTCTTGACCATGATAATGAATTTTATTTTTATCATGAACGTAATTACGAATATTCAGCATGAGTGATCCAGATCCCATCGTTGGGTCATAGATATGAAAAGGTGCTCTATTTTCTTGACCAATCGAAGTAATTTCTGAAATAATGCGAGAAACAGCTTGAGGAGTATAAAATTCACCAGCTTTTTTTCCTGCTCCAGCCGCAAACTGGCCAATTAGATACTCATAAGCATCACCTATTACGTCACCATTATGTTCGAAAAGGTCTATTTCATCAAGTGCTTTGATCACTTCAGTAATCGTAACATTTCTTTGTTGGTCATTTGAGCCAAGTTTTGTTGAATTTAAATCAATATCCGCAAAGAGGTTACTGAACTGGTCCCCTTGCCGCTCCAAGTCGTTAAAACCTGATTGCAAGTCGACCAATCTAAACTCATAAGCATCTGCCTTTTGGCGAAAATGATAAAAAAGCTGTTCGGGAGCAATGAAATATCCCCGTTGTAGACGCATAATTTCTTCAAGATCATCTTTATCTTCGTCATACCAATCTTTCAAGATTTTGAACTGTTCCTCACGCTCTGGGAACTCTGTTGTCTGACCATTTTCTTGTTCATAAACTTCACGTAGTTCAACATCTGATAGATATTTATAGAAAATTAAACCTAAGAGATAGTTTTTATACTCGCTAGCATCCATCTTTCCACGGAGAATATCCGCTGATGCCCAAAGTTGATTATTTAGTGTTGTTGACATTAAATTTCTTCTTTCTATAGTTGTAAATTTTTGATATAAGGATAAAAACTTGACTTATATACCCATTTTGATATAATTAAATTATTAAGGCTGAGGCGTAAGCCAAGATTGCCACTTGAGGCTCGAGATTATTCTCGAGCCGATTTTTTTTACTCAGGAAACTGGTTTCTAAAGCAAGTTATAATCTTAACAAAGTTATCATTCGACATTTTATATTTGAATCTTCTTCTAAATCTGTGAATATCAATTGCCCGTGCTTGAGAAATTGCAGCAGACCGTTTTTTTCCATTGATTTCATACGTTACAAAGCGTTCATCATTTTCTCTAATCGTACTCGTTAAGGGAACTACAAAGGCGGAAATTGCGCTAATTTTTTTTATGACCAACACTGGACGTTCAAAATACTCATGTTTACCATCAATCTCACTCCCAATATTTACACCAATTGACGCCCACCATATATCCCGTTTCTTAAAAAAAATCCGTCGCTTACTTGAATTAAGTTGCTTTTGCACTTCATTCCAAGTATCAAAATTTTTAATATATTCGCTCATAACTTTTCACCTTCTATTAACTGCTGGTTAATTCCTTTTAAGAGAGCTACTTGTAATTTTTGTTTTCTTTTAAGTTGTTCCACAAGCATCAAAGAATTAATATATCCTGTACCTATTAGCTTTTGCTGTGTTAAATTAGGTAGAGAAATCGTCAATTCCTTCAAGCTATTAGTTGATAATTTAATAACTGTTGTCCCTTGCTTCATTTCAAAAATTTGCTTTCTTGATTCAAAAAGTTCATTGAACCAAAATACAAAGTATGCTCTATCAAGTTTTTCTTCGTCTGGTAATACTTTTACATAATTTGGAGAAAGAAGTAAAGGGGTACCATGGTTTCTTACAATTGTAGCCAACTGCGTTACAGGAGAGATGACAATATCTCCCGTTAGGACACTGATGAATTTTTGTGGGAATTCTATATATCTTTTATCACCTTTTGCGTCTCCCCCCAAATACCTATCATACTCAAAGACAGCAGGACTATAAAGATAGCATAATTCTTTTTTGAGTCCTCCATCGTTGAGAGATGTGTCTTTTGGGAAAACATTACCATTTTCCATTGATACTAAATCACGAAGTTTTTTGAACATCACTCCTCCTTTTCATAAATAGAAACCTATTGATTAATATCTTACAATAAAAAAAAGGAACTGTCAAGAAAAAACATAAATAGACATCTATTTATGTTTTTTCTTATTTCAAAATATTAACTCTACTAATTTGGAACAAATCTAAATGTAGAATAAAAATGGCAAAGAGTAAAACACCAGCCGTTATAATATTATTTTTTTATAAAATACTTTTCATTTTTGGTAAACCTTATAGGAAGTAGCTTCCAAATTAAATGTCTCACTACTCACTGGACCTTCAAATATTTTAATTTTGCATTCTCTTGTTTTTATATTTAAATCATAAACTCTATAAATAAAATAATTTGTATTTTTCGAAGTTGATGCTTTTATTTCGTTTCTGGACATCTCAAATCCATCTGAAAATTTACTTGTAGAAGTTTTCACTTCTATGTAGCACTCTTCTCCAAGCTCATTCCAACACCGAATGTCATAACCTAATCCATCTCCTTCAACTTTAGATACGTGAATCGGTAGTTTATTATTATTTTTTTGTGCATTTTTAATAAGAAGTTCAAATACAATTGCTTCTCCGAGTGCGCCTATTTTTTGTCTTTGCTTTTGAATATTTTCAAAGTCAATTTGTTTTGCAATAAATTTAGTTGTTTTTTTTCTTTTAGAGTGGGTTGTGTTATCTTCTTCATAGGAAATTGTAAAACCTTTTTCGACAAAAGTTTTAATTTCTTCTTCAGATATTTTTTCGTCTTCAGAGGCAATACTTTCAACAGGAACGCATTGGACAGCATTTACTAATTTTTCGAATTCATCAATTTTTATTTCATTCATTCCATACTGATTCCAGAAATTCGCCCAATTGTTCGATTTTTTCTTTTTACTACTCCATTTAAAACTTTCTATAAAATCGTCCCCTTGTTTTATGGGTGGTTCAATATTAAAGGAATGTGTTATCAATGCCCTTACATTTCCATCTTCATCTGGTTTAGAAATCTGTTCGACATATCCTCCAGCGTAAATCTCAAACTTCTTATCTTTCGATAGTTTACTTGGATGACGGTTAAGAACAAAAGCTCCCTCTTTTAGACGATTATAACGTTTGATGTTCCAGCCATAACTTGTTTGATCATCAGCATATTTTAATCTTCCTTCTTCGATTTTACCATGATCGAGAATAAAGGCTTGTTGTTTCTCTTGCTTTTTCGGAAGAATTCTATCTATTTCAGTCATCGCATCCCTTTCAAATTCATCAAAAGATTAATTTTTTGTTAGTCAGTACTATATAAATACCATTATATCAAATAAATAAACATTTTTTGTGAGATTCATAACAAATATAATCTTTTTATTAAAACAGTTAAATCTTGTAGTTTTAAAAATGATAGCAGATGTTAGTTTTATGCTAAAATTAATTAAAAATAACTTCCTGATGGGGAACTTTCATGGCTACTACTCTAAAACGTATTTTTTCTGATAAAACCTTTTTATTTACTTTCGTTCTGGCGCTTCTTTCTTTAATTTTTGGAACGGTCAGAGCTTCTGATATTGATTTGAAAACCATTTTGGCTCTTTTGAGCTTGATTATTCTTATTTCTATTTTTGAAATTCTTGGTATTTTAAAATATTTTGCGGCCTTTATTATTGATAAATGTCAAAACTTGAGACAAGTGGCTTTAGTGGTGCTGCTCTTGTCTTTCTTTGGTTCGATGTTTTTTACGAATGATGTGGCGATTTTAACTTTGGTGCCGATTGTTTATAATATCGACCGAAAGGTGAAGTTAACTAAAATTGGCTTGATTAGTTTGATGACCATTTATGCTAACTTAGGTAGTGCGATTACACCTATTGGTAATCCTCAAAATTTGTATTTGGTCTCTTATTATCATTTAAAACTTTTAGAATTTTTCAAACTCTCCATACCTTTAGGATTGGTCAGCTTATTGACTTTATTTTTATGTGCCTTATTATTTTCAAAGAGAGCTGTCAGTCAGATAGAAAACAAGGTATTTTCTATCAAAAAAAGAGAGCTATACTTGTTAGGATTCACGACCTTAATTGTACTTTTGGGTGTATTAGCTCTGATTCCTGTTTGGATTTCTTTAGTTGCAAGCTTGATCTGTGCTTATCTTATCGAGAAAAAAGTTTATCAAGAAGTGGATTATGGAATCATCTTAACTTTTATCAATTTCTTTATTATTGTTGGTGCACTTGGGCGTATTCCTTTGATTCATAATTGGCTTCACCAGCTGATGAATAATGACCTCTCTATTTTCTTTACCTCTATCTTATCTAGTCAGGTCATCAGCAATGTTCCTGCTGCGGTCTTATTATCAAAATTTACCGGGCAACTTTCTCCTTTATACTTGGGAGTGACAATCGGTGGTTTAGGAACACTGGTGGCTTCTTTGGCTAACTTGCTAGCCTTAAGGCAATACCAATTGAATGTTAAAGATCAATCTACCTTGAAATTTTTCGGTCTTTTTACGTTTTTAAATTTTCTCTATCTACTTGTTTTTATCGGAATTGGGATTTTATTTATTCGATAATATTGATAAAAAAATCAAATCAGAAAATGATTTGATTTTTTATTCTTAATAGTGTGCCGTAGAGTTTAAGAGCTTTAATTTTGCATTTTTATTTTCTATTTCGATGATACTCAATGATGTCGAGCTAAGATCCATCTCGCCATAGAGTTCTTTATTGTTTAATAAGAGAGAAATCAGCATTCTAATCGTTATTCGATGAGAAACGATTGCGATTTTGCCTGAACGCTCCCTAAGTCCTTCTTCTTTGATAAAAACTTTTAGTCTGGCTTCAAGTTGAGCAAATGATTCACCATCTTTAGATGGAAAGTAATTAAAGGGGTGATTGAAGAAATTATTCCATTCTAGAGGGGCGAGTTTTTCAATTTCTTGATAAGTTTTTCCTTCCCACGCGCCCATAGCGATTTCACCTAGCAAATCTGATGAAGTTTTCTTTTCATCACCAAATATTAGTCGAGAAGTTTCCAGAGCTCTAGGACTTGTACTTGAGTAAATATGATCAAAATAGTGTTTATTCAGCTCTTTACCTAATGATACTGCTTGCCCAACTCCTTCAACTGTCAAATCAGAATTGAGTGAACCTTGCATTTTCTTTTCGAGATTCCATATTGTTTGTCCATGTCGTATTAAATAAATTTCTAGCATTTTTTTACCTCAAAAATTATTTTAGTAAAATAAATAGCTTTTTAAAAATACATTTTAATTAAGCAGATATAAGTAAAAGTTATGAGTCTTGCTATCAAAAGTAATGTAGTAGATAATCTTTAATAATAAAACATAAAAAGGACAATAGGTATTATTGTCCTTTGCATTTTAATCAGTTAACTTAGACCTATGTTTCCTTTCATTTTTGTAAAAGTAACAACTTTTCAATTGTTTGAAGAACGCCACTCTCTTCATTTGATTTTGTTATGAAATCAGCTTTTTCTTTTACGATGTCAAAGGCGTTATTAACGGCAAAGCTACAGCCAGCGGCTTCTAATAGTTCAATATCATTGAGTCCATCGCCAAAGGCAATTGTTTCTTCTTTCGTTACCCCAAAAATATGTTGTAGTGCTTGAACGGTGGTTCCTTTGTGGACATTATAGTTGGAAATATCAATCCATGCTGCTTCTGAGGCCACGATATAGGCTTGAGCTTCAAATTCGGATAGCTCTTTAACATTTTCAAAAGCTCTCAGTTTTTGGTCAAAAACGGTTATTTTTACAAAGTCTTCCTCAATATTTTGTAAATCTTCCTGCTTTTTGACAACAGCATATGACTTTCTTATTTTTTGAGCGTCCTCTTCAGAGACCGTTGACTTGATATAGGCAGCGGTTGGGGTACAAGCGATAATAATATGATCTGATGCAATATTTTCTAGTTTTTCAATAATTTGAAGTCCTAACTTGTTTGGTAATAAGGACTCATAAATATATTTACCTTCATGTTTAATTCGTGTTGCACTATCACCCAATATCCAGATATTTTTAGAAATATCCGTATCAAAGAGTTCTTCAACCCGCTCGCATTGTTTACCAGTACAGGGGGCAAAAATAACATTATTCTGATCCATCATTGTCTTTACCTTCTCGTAGTAAGACTGATCAAAACTACCACTTTTGTTTAAGAAAGTACCATCTAAATCTGTAAGTACAAGTTTAATCATATTATTATCTTTCTTTTATTAGTATTTTTTTGTTCAAGAATCTGAGTTAAAAGCTAGCCACTTCATTTTAAGACAGTAAATCAAATTGAAGACAAGATTTATTGCTACTTAGATCATTATAATGTGCCTTATGCTTGGTGAGAGCTCTACAATCATATTTCTATAGGAGGTCAAAATTATAGTTGTTCATTATAATATCAATTATTTACTTTTAAGTTTACTGCCTTAGAATGAAGTGGTTTTACTTGTTCCTTCCACTTCATAAAGTTTTAGCCTACTTTATCAAATAAAGCATTAATAGTAGAAATTACTCCATTCTCATCATTTGATGGTGCTTGATATTTTGCTACTCGGGCCACTTGTTCACTTGCATTAGCCATAGAATAACTATAGCCTGCGAGCTCTAACATTTCTAAATCATTATTGTTATCACCAAAGGCCAGAAATTGTTCGGGCTTGATTCCCCATTGATTCAATAATTGCTTAAGTGTGTTCCCTTTGTTTACTTCGTTTGCAATCAAATCAAAACTTCCATGTCCACTATATACGGCTTTTAGTTGAGAATTATTCTTTTCATTCATTAATTCAATAATCGAAAAAGCATTTTTATCCTCTAATTGAAGGGCGATTTTTACCCATTCATCATCTGGAAGGTCTTGAAATGAATCGATTTCTTTGAGTGCAAAATAGTATTTTGCTGCTTCTTTTTTCAAGTCAGCATTTTCGCTCTTGAGGATATAGGCAGATTGTACACCACACAGAATAATTCCAACTTTGTAAGAAGTATTTTCTAAAAGAGTCAAAGTATCCTGAATAATTGGTTTGGCAATGATCTTTTTTATTAATAAATTTCCCTTTTCAAATACGAGTCCGCCATTTTCTGAGACAAATGTTATTTCTCGCCAAATTTCTGGGAAAAAAGAACTTATTTGAGCGTACTGATTTCCACTTGCTACCACAAACCTCACTTCTTTCGCTTTTAATTTTTTAAAGAGTTCAAGGAATGCTTTTCTGTCGTAGTCATTATTTGAATTAAGAAAGGTCCCATCCATATCTACGGCGATTGCTTTAATCATACATTATCTCCAATTTAAAAAATATATCGGTTTATTTCTATTTTTCTTTTAATCTTGATTGATATTCTTCTTTTTTCTTGTTCCAATAGCGCTTGTCCTCTTCATTGATTGCTCGGATAAACTGAGCTGGATTTCCTCCGACAATTGTATTGGCTGCAACCTCTTTCGTAACTACTGCGCCCGCAGCAATGATTGAGTTTTTACCAATGGTCACTCCTGGAAGGATAGTGGCACTCCCACCAATCCATACATTATCTTCAACCGTGATAGGCAAGCCAAATTCAAGTTCTTCTATTCTAATTTGAGGATCTATTGGATGACCTGCCGTATAAAAACTAACACGTGGACCCACCATAACATTATTGCCAATCTTTATTTTATTAACATCTAAGAAAATACAATCCATATTTGCATAGAAATTATTTCCAATTTCTACGTGTCTACCATAATCCACCTGAAATGGGGGAGTTACATACAGGTTGTCCCCTGTTTTCCCAAAAACTTGTCGCTCTAAAGCAACAATTGTTTCTTTTTCTTCAATCGGAGTATTATTGATTTTTTGGACAATCTTCTTGCCGTGGATGGATTTGTTTTCTAGTAAAATATTCCCAGCAAGGTATAAGTTACCTAACAACATCTCTTGATAATCAAAATCAACTGCCAAAACCTCTTACCCACTCTCTATTTTTTATGTTCTTCATCTAGTGTTGTCGTGAGTTCAATCAAATTCCCTTCAGGATCTTGAATAACTGCTTCATAATAGCCATCCCCCGTAGTACGAGGGCCGTTGAGTAATGGATATCCATCTTTTACAAATCTTTCAGCATATTCATCTACTGCTTGTTTATCCCCTACTGCAATGGCAATGTGAGCATATCCTAAACTCTCAGCAATTCTATTTGATAAGAATTTTTTTGTTGTGACTTCCATTCGACTTCCTGAGTCAAAGGTTAAAAAGTAAGATTTGAAGCTTGTTTTTTGATTATGGTATAAATCACTTGAAGTGACATTAAAATATTTTTCATAAAAAGCTTTTATTTTTTCAATATCCTCAGCATAAATTGCTACGTGTTCGATGTGCATTCTGTTTCTCCATTTTCTAGCTAGCTTTATCCAATTGCTGGATAATCTTTTAAAAATAGTGGTATAATGATTCTAATGGCAATGATTGCTCCTTTTATTAAGAATAATAAGAGCAGGCCGATTTTTTTAAATAAACTTTATTAACAAACTTTAATAAGTTGATTTCATTATATCTTTTTTATCAAAATTAGTAAAGCGTTTTTATTTTGAAAAATAATCATATAAGGAGAATTATGAAAGCCTATAAACCTAAAAATATCAAAGAACACAATAAGGAACTAATTTCTGATTACATTAAAAATGCTCATTTACCACTTACAATTCGTCAAATATCAGATGGGACTCAACTCAGTGTTGTTACAATTAATAAACTTATTGTGGAACTGATTGAAAGTGATACCATTAAATCTCTTGATAAACATGCTAAAACTGGCGGTCGTTTTGCAACAGCCTATGAATTTAATGCTACTAAAGAATTAATACTAATCCTTCAATTTATCGAAAATGATAAAATTTAGTGGTCAATTATCATATTGTCGATCTTCTGGGAAATGTCATTGAACAAAAAAATTTAAAGACTAATAATTTAGACGAGCTTCTGCTTAATATTAATCATTTTAGAAGTGTTTTTCCTCAAATCGTTTTAATTACTTGTGGTATTACTGGAGTTGAGATTGATGGAGAATTACGAATTATGGATTTTTCACCGCTTAAAAATGTCAGTCTCGCTAAAGAAATTAGAGATTCAACTCAGATTGAAACCATTATCGAAAATGATATTAATGCCGCTACTCTAGGCTATGCTTTAGAGGAGAATGAAGTTTTATCAGGCGTTTATTTTCCAGAAAAATTTCCGCCGGGTTCTTCTTTGATTATTAATCAAACTATTTTTAAAGGAAGCAATAATATCAGTGGGGAAATAAAATATCTCCCTACTTTTAGAACTGCTGAATTTCCATTGAGTCAAAACGAGATTTATCTAAAAGTATTTGATTCGATTCAAACAATTATCGCAATGTATGCCCCTCATCAATTAATCATCTTTATTCCTCAAGTTTGGGAGAAGCTCTTAAATATAGAAAAAATAAAGGATGAACTCAGAGAGATTTTTCCTAAAGGAACCCTTCCGCAAATGGAATTTTCTTCCAACTTCTCTAGTTTATATTTGGCAGGCTTAATTAAGTTGTCTTTGAGAAACTAAGGTTTTCTAAAGAAAGAGACAATTGATTTAGTCAACAAAAAAACATTAGGTATTTCCTAATGTTTTTTACTATTTATAAATTATGATTTATTTTGTTCAGCAAATAGTTTGCCCATTTTTTTCAGTACTTTTGGTGCATCTTCTTTTGCCAAAATTAACTCAATCCAGTACATTCTATTTGGATCTGCTTGAGCTTCTTTCATGACAGACACAAATTCATTTTCAGTTCTAACGATTTTTGAGACTACTCGATCTTCTGTTGCTCCAAACGATTCTGGTAATTTTGAGTAATTCCACATTGGAATATCATTGTAGCTTTGATTTGGTCCATGAATTTCTCTTTCGACTGTATAACCATCATTATTGATAATAAAGCAAATTGGATTAATTTTTTCTCTGATTGCTAATCCTAATTCTTGCACTGTAAGTTGAAGTGAACCATCACCAATAAATAAAAGGTGTCTGCTTTCTTTATCTGCAATTTGGCTTCCTAATGCTGCTGGGAATGTATATCCAATTGAGCCCCATAAGGGTTGACCAATAAAATGACTCTTTGGTTTTAAGAAAATTGATGAAGCGCCAAAGAATGATGTCCCTTGTTCAGCAACGATTGTTTCATTACTTTGAGTAAAGTTTTCAACTGCTTGCCATAGGCGGTCTTGTGATAAAAGCGCATTTGATGGAACAAAGTTTTCTTGCTTTTTATCGATATATTTTCCTTTGTATTCTATTTCGCTTAGGTCTAAGAGAGAGGAGATGAGGGATTCAAAATCAAAATTTTGGATGCTTTCGTTAAATATTTTTCCTTCGTCTATGTTCAGTGAAATCATTTTATTTTCATTTAAATGATGGGTAAATGCTCCTGTTGAAGAGTCTGTGAGTTTAACTCCAAGCATCAGGATGAAGTCGGCTGATTCCACGAATTCTTTAAGATTAGGCTCTGAGAGTTTACCATTATAGATTCCTAAAAATGAAGGGAGAGTTTCATCAACTGAACTTTTTCCAAAGTTTAATGTCGTAATAGGTAGTTTTGTCTTTGAAATAAATTGAGTGACTGTATTTTCTAAGCCAAAACTAATTATTTCATGTCCTGTAATCACGATTGGTTTTTTGGCATTTTTCAAGCTTTCTTGAATTTTATTCAAAATCTCTTGGTCACTTGTATTTGAAGTTGGATTTTCTTTTTTCAAAGGGAGTGAGGGTTTCTCTGCTTTTGCAGCAGCAACATCAACTGGTAAGTTGATATAGACAGGTTTTCTTTCTTTTAGTAGTGCAGAAAGTACTCGATCAATTTCAACGGTTGCATTTTCTGCTGTCAGTAAAGTTCGAGCTGCTGTAACAGGTTCGTGCATTTTCATAAAGTGTTTAAAATCACCGTCAGCCAGCGTATGATGAACAAATTTTCCTTCATTTTGAACTTTTGATGTAGGTGATCCCACTATTTCTACTACTGGTAAATTTTCGGCGTAACTTCCTGCTAATCCATTAACTGCACTCAATTCACCTACTCCAAAGGTTGTAAGAAATGCGGCAGCTTTTTTAGTACGAGCATAGCCATCAGCCATATATGAAGCATTTAATTCATTAGCATTTCCGACCCATTTCATATCCTTGCGGGAAATAATTTGATCTAAAAATTGTAAGTTATAGTCTCCAGGGACTCCAAAAATTTCTTCAATTCCTAACTCGTGTAATCGGTCTAATAGGTAATCTCCTACTGTATACATCGCATTCCTCCGTATTTTATTATATATTGGTCAATCAAATTGACATTTATAGAATAACGCTTTTCTTTAAATAAGTCAACGATATTGACTTATTTGAATTATCAAGTATAATAGACTAATAAAAGGAGTGAATTATGACTAAAGAAAACTCAGGAATAGACGATAACTTAAATTTTACTAGAGATTTGGCTTTATTTTACTTCGGATACCGTGCATTTATTAAACAAGAGGACGACCTAGTACTTTCTTACGGAATTCGTCAAGTACATCGGCGAATTATATTTTTCATTGGAAGACTTCCTGGCTTGACCGTTAATGAATTACTTGAAGTGCTTGATATTTCTAAACAAGCTTTGAACGGTCCTATGAATGATTTAAAAGAAAAAGAATTGGTTCATTTCAAGCCAAATGAAAATGACAAAAGAATCAAACAGCTTTATCTGACCGAACAAGGAAACATGTTAGATGAACGTATGAATGAAAATCAAATCAATAAAATGAAGCAATATTTTAGTGAATCTGGCGATAAAGAGGGCAGTTTTTGGACTAAGGTCATGGAATTATATGCCAATGAAATTGGTGAAAAATATGTCAATCGTTTATAAGGTCTTAATCAGACTTCTATCAATTACAAGTGAAAGTTAAATAGACATCAATGAATACACATCAACTTGAAATTTTTTATCATGTCGCAAAATTTCAATCAATATCAAAGGCAGCCGAGGCACTTTATATCAGTCAGCCAGCTGTCAGTAGCCAAATCAAAAAACTTGAGTCTGCTTATGGTGTTCACCTAATCGAAAAAAATGGTCAGGGAATCCAGCTGACAGCTCTTGGAATTCAGCTTTATGAAATTATTCGCTCCTTTTTTGAGAACACTATTGTTTCCGCAGAATCACTCTTAAAAAATTCTTCTGTTCTCCGGATTTCAGGAAATTTTTTAATGACAAATTTTGTAATTCCTCAAATTTTCGATCATGAAACTAATCAGGCTAACTTAATTATCAAAAGCACTTCTTCTTTTAATGCGCTGACAGAATTGAAAAAGAGTTACTGTGATTTGGCATTGATTAGTGCTTCTAGTCAGCCCGTTCTGTCAGCAGATATTTCGGTCAAAAAAATTTTTGATGATGAAATTATTTCTGTCAGTAAAAATCCACTAGAAAGCGAAGTTACTTCCCTTATTGTCAGTAAAAGTAAAATTGATGTTTACAAAATATTGGAAAAAAATAATCCATTATTTTCACATTTACCTTATACTGCAGTTGAGTCGACTCAAGATGCTCTCTCAAATATTAATATTAATAAAAATAGTGCAACTTTCATTTCTGCTCGTTTTCTAAAATATTTTGAAAAAGATTATAACTATCACTATACTGGAGTTAAAAATGGTTTTTATGCCCTCTATAAATCAAACAATTTTCATACTGATGAAATTATAAAGCTTATCGAAATGATAAAGTCTTCTACTAAATAAATTAAAAAACAATCAACTACTGAGTTGATTGTTTTTATCATTAGATATAACGTTTCAAAAAGTTTAAAAGATTAGGCCAAATGTCATCAATATAAGCCTCCCCATGTCGTGAACCGCTAAGTAGGCAAGTTTCTACGGGAATTTGCTCTTGTCGCAATAGTTCTGCTAATTTTTGATGTTCATAAGCAGGAACAAGCTCATTCATTGAGTTGCAAAGCAAGCCCGGTCCACTCTTTTTAGTTACTTTAGAAAAAATAGAGGCCTTTTCTAAACTATCGTCATTTATTGACGTCAGTAAGTTTTCGATAATCCACTTATAGTAAGAATCATTGGCTCCTGCTTGGTCAATCTTCTTACTGGGTAAGTCTGGAGCAATGATTAATTGTTTAGGAATCGTTTCCTTATGATTTTCATAGAATCCCTTTAAATCTAAAAGTCCTGACAGGCTGACAAAGGGGCGACCTTTTGTCAATCCCAAATAAGCAGCTAAATGTCCACCTGTTGAGCCACCAATAAAGGCGATATTATTAGCCTTGAAATCTGGGATATTTTTAAGAAGCCAAGTGTAGGCAGCTTCAACGTCCTCATCTTGGGTTGGAAAAAGATTTTTAGCTTGTGTGGCCAAACGATAATTCAGAGCTGCAACCTGATAACCTTCGGCAGCTAATCCTGTAGCAACTTCTTTTTCTTTGCCTTTGTCTCCTTGCCACCAACCACCGCCATGAATCAATACTAAAGTTTTTCCGTTCCATTCTTTTGGCTGATAGAGGTCAAGCGCTTGTAATTCATCTTTACCATAATTAAAAGTTTTCATCTTATTTCCTCCTAACTACATTGTATTTCTAATTCAACTATCACAAGACCTCCTCAAAGTTAGTTTGAGAAGGTCATTTTGTTTCTTAATTTCGTTTGTAAATAGATTATTTGTTTAATTTGAAGTACAAATCAGCAATATTACCTGTAAAATCATAAGGTTTTTCATCGATAAGAACTTCAACTACTTTTGCAGAATCATCAATTGCTGGAATTTCAAGGTTTTGTTGACGAATAAAGTCATTAGCATCAATAAATTCTTTGTTCAATGTGCGACCATCCAAAGTTTTAAATGTAATTTTCATTTTATTACCTCTTTCTAATTGATTATAGTCCTAAAAAATGATGGAGTCAAATAATTACGAATATTTGGTTTAGAGAGAACATCCAACTAACTCTAAAAGAAAATTATCGATAAGCTCTTGTGAAAATTTTAATTTTGGATGTCATTTTGAAAAGGCATTCAAAAATGATAAAATATACTTAATGTATTCAATTTATTAAGTTAAGTATTTTAATCAGTCTAATTTCAAATCTATAAAGCGAATATTTCCTCATAAATTAATTAATTCATATACTTTCAAAAAAGAACTTAAATAAGTTCTTTTTTGAAAGTATATGAATTTTA